GATGTTGTGTTTGTTGTATTGTGAATTAGTGTAGGGGAGAGTGACAACCCGTGAAAAATTCCTTCCGTTTTTATGACATGTTCTTTCAACTCTCGCTCCATTTCATCATCAAATGTTCGTTTAAAATATTGTCCGTAGTCATTTATATATGGGTCATTCTCTGTCAACTTGAACCATGGTTCCATCTCCGATTTTTTTTAAATTTGAACAGTAAGTACCTCAATGTATTTCATCGACAAAATAAAATTTTTATAAAAAAATTTCAATTATTTTTCAAGTTATGAAGATTTTTGTGACAGCATCCTCAAATTTTTGAGCGATTTTTTTCAAAACTTGTACCTATGTAGAACGCTATATCTCTTGAACTAGCCAACATATCTTGATGAAATTTTTTGGGCATATCAGTGAAACAATGTAATAACAAAAAACATAAATGTTATTGTCTCGAATCAAAAGAAGTTTTGTACAAAAAATCTAGAAAAAAATGAATTTTTTGAAAATTTCACCGATTTCAAAACAGCGTAGCTCAAAATCTATCGCAAAATAAATAAATATTTTTTGTTATTTTAGAAGTACCTTATAGTCATAAATAAATCACAAAATTTCGTTAAAATCTGTATTGAATTTTTTGAGCTATCGGAGCTCAAAATGTCAAAAAAATGAAAAACTTTTTTTGTTTGGCGCCATTTTTAACTATGAAGAACCAAACGTTTTTTAATTTTTAAAATTTGTTTATATAGTGCTTTTATAGCTTAACAACATATCAAAAAATAAAATTGGCGTTTGCTTTCTTTGAAAAATAAAACAACTTCAAAAACAGGCAAAACAAATTTTTTTCAAGTGTCAATTTTTTTTATTTTTTTCAATTTAAAATTATTATACAACGTGCTAATGTGTTTAAAAACAGTTTCAGGAAGAGTTATGTGAATTTTTCCAACATAAGAAATGTTATCATCAGGTATAAGAATCAAAATATGTTTAAATGGTACATAGCAAATATCTACATTTTTAGGCCAATAAAAAATATTTTCTTTAAATTTCTTCAGACAGTTAACTTTTAAATCATCATTTATATCATCTCTTTCTATAATGTTTCCTAAATACCATTTCTTATCATAGACCAAAGCTACAAATCGACCCGGCTCGTAATCATCATTGTTGTCTTCACTTTCATTTTTATTAAAATTGTATCCAAATAAATCTGAAGACAATCAAATTCAACTTCACAACCACCACCCGCACCGCCATCCTCGTCTTCATCATCTGAAAATGTCGTTGTAACCGGCGAGTCGTTGAATCAAATATTTTTGGCTGCCGGCTGTTCACCTTTAAGAATAAGAAAAATAAGCTCAAGTAACAAAGTATCGTACATGAAGAAATTGTTATGCAAAAAATCAGCCAGGTTGGTTGAAAAGGATAAAAATATTTTTCAAACACCAAAAAAAGTTTTGAATTGTAAACATTGCGATGGTTTCAAAAATATTATGGAGGAATTTAAAGTAAAATTTTTTTCAAGCGATTATCGTCACAGACAACAAATTTTAACTCTAGTCCCACCATCATGGACCCTCTCAAGAACTGCTTCATTTTTTTCATGTTCAAAACATCTTGTTATTAAAAGTAGGAAATTGAAAAGAGAATCAGGCATTTTATCACTACCACATAAGAAAAAAGGTAAAACTATTGACGAGCCCACAACACAATCTGTAATCGATTTCTACAATCAACAAGAAATTTCTATCTGCTGCCCTGGAAAGAAAGATTTTGTCATTGTTACAGAAGGTCAGCAAAAACTATACCATCAGAAAAAAATTTTACTTGCAAATATTAAAGAAATTTATTTTGAATTCGTTAAACAAAAGAATTTAAAAATTGGTTTTTCAACTTTTTTCAAACTGCGTCCACCATGGTGTGTAACTGTTTCATCGCCTGGAGCACATCGAGTGTGCATCTGTGAATATCATCAAAATATCAAACTTATGCTTGAAAGTGTGCCATTAAATCTTTGCTACAAATTTTGGCTGGAAAAATTAGTGTGCAATATAAATTCAAGAGAATGTATGTTACACAGATGTGAGGAATGCCCAGGAAAACTGAGTGTCGAAAATAACTTAAGAGCGATTTTCGAAGAAGCTGTAATTTCAATTGACAACACAATCAGTTTTTATCAATGGTCCCATGATGATAATCGCAGTTCATTGATTTCCGTACAGGATACAGTTGACAGTTTCATTGAAAGATTTTCGCAAAAACTTGACGAGTTGTCATCGCATCATTACATAAGCAAAGAACAATCGAAATATCTTAGCGATTCTAAAGAAAATTTAAAAAATTCGGAGTGTATTGCTTTAATGGATTTTGCTGAAAATTATTCGGTGATAATACAGGATGCAATCCAGAGTCAACATTGGAGCAACACGCAAGTTACTCTTCACCCAACTGTTCTTTATTACAGAGACGATGAAAACTTATCTGTCAAAAGCGTTTGCATGATTAGCGACTGTCTCGATCACAATGTTTCCGCTGTTTATGCTTTTCAAAAACATTTAATTAACTATGTAAAACAAAACCTGAAAAACGTTACTTTAATTAAATATTTTTCTGATGGTGCGGTAAGTCAATACAAAAATTACAAAAATTTTTCTAATTTAATTCATCATAAAGAGGATTTTGGATTAAAAGCAGAATGGCACTTTTTTGCAACTTCTCATGGAAAAAGTCCTTGCGATGGAATTGGAGGGACAACAAAAAGATTCGTTGCAAGAGCAAGTTTGCAGGCATCAACAAAAGATCAGATATTGAACGCCAGTGATTTTTACACATACGCTGATGCGAAAATAAATGGTATTAAATTTTTTTGGGTAGACAAAAAAGAAATTAAAGATCTGCTAGGAATGCTTGAAAAAAGATTTAGGTCAGCAGATAAAATAAAGGGTTGTCGAAGTCATCACTCATTTATTCCAGACAAAAATGATCAACTTTTGATGAAACGTTTGTCTTCAGATTTATTTGGATACAATTTTAATAAAAATGAAAGTGAAGACAACAATGATGATTACGAGCCGGGTCGATTTGTAGCTTTGGTCTATGATAAGAAATGGTATTTAGGAAACATTATAGAAAGAGATGATATAAATGATGATTTAAAAGTTAACTGTCTGAAGAAATTTAAAGAAAATATTTTTTATTGGCCTAAAAATGTAGATATTTGCTATGTACCATTTAAACATATTTTGATTCTTATACCTGATGATAACATTTCTTATGTTGGAAAAATTCACATAACTCTTCCTGAAACTGTTTTTAAACACATTAGCACGTTGTATAATAATTTTAAATTGAAAAAAATAAAAAAAATTGACACTTGAAAAAAATTTGTTTTGCCTGTTTTTGAAGTTGTTTTATTTTTCAAAGAAAGCAAACGCCAATTTTATTTTTTGATATGTTGTTAAGCTATAAAAGCACTATATAAACAAATTTTAAAAATTAAAAAACGTTTGGTTCTTCATAGTTAAAAATGGCGCCAAACAAAAAAAGTTTTTCATTTTTTTGACATTTTGAGCTCCGATAGCTCAAAAAATTCAATACAGATTTTAACGAAATTTTGTGATTTATTTATGACTATAAGGTACTTCTAAAATAACAAAAAATATTTATTTATTTTGCGATAGATTTTGAGCTACGCTGTTTTGAAATCGGTGAAATTTTCAAAAAATTCATTTTTTTCTAGATTTTTTGTACAAAACTTCTTTTGATTCGAGACAATAACATTTATGTTTTTTGTTATTACATTGTTTCACTGATATGCCCAAAAAATTTCATCAAGATATGTTGGCTAGTTCAAGAGATATAGCGTTCTACATAGGTACAAGTTTTGAAAAAAATCGCTCAAAAATTTGAGGATGCTGTCACAAAAATCTTCATAACTTGAAAAATAATTGAAATTTTTT